CTTCCCCTGCTATAAAATACATGTTGTGTTGACATTGTGTGTATGGTTCTCTCCATCCAGACCACAACCCTATGCTTGCATTTGCTGAATGGCACAGCGGTACCAAACAGTGGGATTAGGGAGGGGGCCACACTTTCCCTGCAGGATACAGCGAGACAGCATCAACAAGACTCCAGAACTGTCACACGTGTACTCTCAGACAAAGCTGACTCTACCGCTACCACTTTAGGCTTTTCCTATTCATTGGCTCGCTGATTCATTGACGATGGAATGGAGGTGATTCTCATCGCCGCCATTTTTAGAGGAACTGCCTATTGAAGTGAGAAACTTTGCTGGCTACTGCCTAACGTTAGCAGCTAGCTGGTTGGCCGCTAGCTTGCCTGTCGTTGTGACAGTTAACGCTTGACAGTCGTCACTAGCCAGAGCAGCTTGCTTCACGTTGATGCAATTGTTCCTGCGGCCGACCAGTATTTTTGACAAAGATAACGGTTATTGCTTAAGTCAACAGTTTGAGCTAACGCTAGACTTGAAGTCAGCGTGGCCGTCTTTATTGGGTAGGGCACAACTGTGTGGTTAGATGAGCGAATTAGCATTGCTAACTTATTAGCTTGCGATTTCACACTTTGATTTCTGTGGACTGCATCGCCTCGTCTGTGATATATCGTCAGCCACATCCTCTGTTCAGGGTGACTGGATTCATCAGCCGTCTCAACCTATGTGGATTCATTTTAACCGGGTGAGTCGGTTGCTAGCTTTAGCTTTCTACTAACGATGGGTTCAACAACACGTTGCAGTGGATTTAAACATAGGTTAGCGTAGAGGTAGCCGGCTAACTAGATTGTTAGCTACTCGACAGCTAACAGCTAACCAAAAGTTGCTGTCACAACTTGTATTGGTCTGTCGCATCGACACATTGTAGTCTTCAGTGATCCATTGTTAGCATACGGGTGTTTGTTTTGAATGCCAGGATAACACATCAGCAAAATATATCATTGTGCGATGAGCAAGCGAGCTAACGCTACACTGTGAGTGGTGTATTGTAAATAGTAACGGTAAAGATTGCTCTGCCTAAGAAGCGTTAGCTAGCTACGTTAGCTTGCTAATCCGCTTTATGCAACTATCGCTGCAAGCAGTGCCACTCCCTCGTGTTTGTTGTTGTCCACTGTGGCTGCACGTTAAGTGCAACTCTGCTGCTGGATGTGTGTGTTTCTGAAGTTTGATTGTTCATCAATTGATTCACATCCTGTTCGTATAGCTATGTGACGGTAGGTGACATTGATCAGGAGTCTCTTTCTATGTCTGTCGCACGTACATGTCCTGACATTGTGATTACAAGCATCATTAGTCTGACAAGTCATTGTGATTATCAGTGTGTCAGCGACAAGGAGCTAGCATCCATCTGCAGCTGATGGCATGTTGTTGTGCACCGACGTGAGTCGCATTCCTCAGTTTTCTGTGTTGATATTGCGTAACACTGGCTATCACTCTGCAAGCTAACGTTACTCTTCTGCTTAACGTATGCACGACACAGTGGATCAGCACAACACAACGATTTAACATGCCTCCTTTAATGTGGTTTCAAGTGCGTGATTGAACCACAAGTTTACTATTCACCCAACGTTAACCAAGACACTTTGCCATCTGTGGGAGTGATCTGTCAACTTGTGATGTCCACGATTTGATGGCTGATACACCCAAACACCTACAGCTTTATGTTGTTTGTGCCATATATACTGCTGTTTTATTGTTCAATAAGCACTGCAGTATTAGCAGCCCACCTATCTTTGTTGGTGTCACTGAACAGACTGTCCACGTTATTAATGCAGCCTATGACTTGTACTCTCACTCTGCTACCACAGATTTCTGCTAGGCTGCCTGTCCCCTGTCTTCCTATGTTCTCTGTAACCTGTGCGGTTCTGTACACTTTTCAATTGGTCACGTACACCTCTGCATGCTTGTCAAAACAACAGTGCATTTTCAGGCTGGAACAGTTCCCCGTCTTTACTTTCAAGGACTTGCTGGTGGCCGATGATGAGAGGTACGCGGCTGCTATCGACTGCGATCACCTCGGTGCACGAGAAGCCGACGCAAAGTTGTGTATTCCTGTGTGTCAGTGTTATATCAGGGGGTGCTGAATATGGGCACACTGCATAATGGATTTAAGTGTCTCCCAGGAAAAACGGATTAGACACCGGAGCAAAGCCTGCCCTGCTCGCTAAAGTCTAGATCCAAGTCAGTGACAGTCAGCCACTGCAGAACAAGTGCTGTTTCCACAATATGAATCACTGCAGTACTGCCACCATAACTTTATTTTTTAGTGATTTTGAATATGTAACGCAGTTATGAATCACATAGTATGGTTCTTATTTAGCTTACTGATTGTAAGACTATTGTGCTTTTATTGTACTTAATCTTTTTCTAGACCTGGCAAAAATAATTGCTAATCAAATGTCCTTAGGTCTTTGCTGTGTGACATCTTCAGTGACATGGCAATTTAAAAGAAAAATGAGATAATAAAGTTATGGTCCTCTTCCTTAATTCCTTAAAGGAGTTCGTAAGCACCAGCTCAAGGTCTTTGATTGAGGCCGGCTGCTGAACAGTTGGATACCAATCACGCATTTGATGAGTCAGACTGAAAGAAAGAAGACGCGTGAGGAGGGGTTACACAAACGACACAAAATATCCACCATAATGAGGGTCTGCATGATTTTCTGAAATTATAAGATGCACATTAAAGGTGCTACATTTTACATTCAGAGCATTAATATAGCAACAAACAACCTTTTGCTATGTAAATATGTAGTGAAGTAAGAACTTTTGTGTGCCTTGTTATCCTCTCTTTGTTTACAAAGGCCGGGCCGGCGGCACATGCAGATTGTTGTCTTCTTTTTTTTGTTTTCAGTGTTTGTTGTTAAGAAGAAACGTGGTATGCTATTGATGTTTGGGGCATGTATCCCACACAGGAAGAGTGTACATGGAGCTCAGTGAGTGAAATGGGATGGGTCAAATCCTCTTAGTGTTTGGTCGCTCCTTTCCTCTCCTCTGTCGCCATCATCTTTATAGTAACCACAAATTGGGATGTGTTGTTGTTGATGTTGGTTAGCTAGAGAGCTTTCACTTCCTCCACTCAGCGAAAGCCACACTTCTGTGATCAGGGTGGGGAACAGGAGCATGGACACCCCACCCTCCATCTTAGAGATAGAAATGTAGTGTGTCATGTAAAGGTCATGAAGTTAACATTGTCTCTAAAGGAACAGCTGTGGTGTTGCAGTGCTCTTTGTAATGGTTATCTTTAAAGCAGAGATGCATCGAACCTGTCTTTTCTCTCTCTTTATAGAATTGAATGCCTTACCGCAACATGTTTTATCATTAAAATAACATTTGAATGATATCGTTAATACAACGTTGCATTGTTACAGTTTTACAACAAGAGACAAGAAGTATTTCATGTGGACCAGTTACATCCGGATGATACATGATCGTTTAATAAGCTGTATCCGCTCTCTGCATTCCTACTTTGAATTATTTAGCCATTTAGCATCTTGCTGAAAGACATTTTTCAAAATGTGTATGACAGAATATATGTAGCATTTTCTGAGAGACTCCACAGTGTAAATGCCCTGCACACCCACACAGGTGATATCAGTTATTCTGGTTGATGGGATCTTCTTCTCAGGTCGACATTAAAGGTTGAAGCTTTGCTGAGATCGACTCCATGTTCCTTTTTAAGGGACAAGTTGTCCCGCCTCAGCAGGTGCAGCAAAACCAGAGTCAGGGAGACATCAATCAAGTACAGTATGCAGAGAGGTGGCACAATCAGCCAAAATAACTAAAAACTATAATTGTAGTTAGTCAAAATAAGAACTGGGACAAAGAATATCAGTGTTACATGTGAGTCTCATTACTGAGTGTAACTTAAATAGTTTTATGTAGTTGTAATGGATTTTAACCAGTGAAAACATGATGAACTGGGATGGATAATGTATAATACTCTTGTGTATACCTCTCCTATCTACATTCTTTTCTCTGCATTTTAATAAATCAGCAGATAGCACGGTTGCTGCTCTGTAGCTGGCCCTGTGCAGCTAAGAGAATTCCACTATGGGGATCAATAGAGTATTTGATTATTCATCATCCCTCTCCATTTCTTTCTCTCTCTTCCTGTCCGTGACATGCCTTGCTACTCAGCTTGGTGTATTGGCTGCCTCTTCATTAGGCTCCTTGGTGATTTTACAGTGCAGAGGAAATCAATTCACATAATACACAATGAGAGAATCCATTTTCTCGAGCAGTAAAGCAAAACAACTTTCAGTGCATTTCTTGAACACACTGTTCCTTGTGATAATGTGTGCGCTTGTGCACGCACGGTTTGCAGTCCGGTCCATCACTTCCAGATTCAGTCTCATGACTCAGTGGTGTGTGTGTGTGTGTGTGTGTGAGCGAGTGTGTGTGTGGATGTGTGTGTGTGGATGTGGATGTGATACCTGATTGTATCTCTCTGTACACACAGTCCAACTTAGCCAAAGTCAAGTCTTGTCTAGTTCAATTATTCTTTAACCTTAAATTGTCCAGTTTCATCAGGAAATCAAAATGAGGAACCAAGATGCTCTTGAATGTCTGGACGCACTCCTGTCCACTGAGCTATCGGATGAGATTACACTTCATGTGTGACTCATTTAAACCTATAAACTAAATATTCATAGCTGGTACTGTTTTAAAAGAAGTCTTTAGAAGACAGCCCATCATTGTCATAAAAGAAACAATAATTATCAAAACAATTACCACAACAGGGTGTGTGTTTATGCTAATTTGTGGCATTTTAACTACCTGATGAAGATCCGAGGACCGAATCGTCGTAAATACAGTCCATAATGCTTAGTCGTCTATTCATGGTAATTGTACCAAGGAGTCACATTTTATTTGACTTAAAGGATGATTCTGTGTCTGGCTGTCTTATTATTGCCCACAGTCATGTGTGCTGATTCAGGAAAAATATTTACGAGGAAGTGCAACCACATGTTGGATGGGAAAAGTCTTTAAAAAGGTACAGAAAGCTTTGACACATTGATTTATTGCTGCTGATGTTCATGCTTTGTCAGTATATCATCAGTAGTGACGGTAGTGGACTGATTTGGGCGGTGAGTAGAGTTAGTCAGTATTAGGAGGTTAGGAAGTTAATCATTTCGAGTACAGCAGTGATCTTTCAGTGCCGACTCTACTTCTTAGCCTTTTTGCCTTTCACACAAAAATGATCAAAACCTCAAAGTCTCTCTCTAATAGTTAATATATTAAATGTAAAATGCTCTAGAATGTGTACTGTTTATCTTAATAGCTTAAATCCATAATGTAATTTAAAAATATTGTTATAATTCTTCTCTCTCGGGAAAGTCAAGCGAGCCAGCCCTCCTTGCTTCTCCTTTGACTTTCTACACATCTGGCATATTCATTCACAGTGCTTAATTAAGACCTGCTAGAAAATCAATCATTTTCCAACATTCAGTCAGATTGGATGGCGTATCTATTAAGGCAGTGCTTATCACCAAATGCACAGCTGCAGTAATCTGTCCTGCTGCCTGAAAGCAAATGTAAAGTTCAAACTTTGATTTCTTTTTTCAACCTTTTTTAAAAAGTCAACGTTTGGCGTTGTTGGTCCACATTTAGCAGCCAAACAATATACATTACAATGCTTATCTCGTAACACTGCAAGCATTGTGACAGAATGAGACAAAGAAAATGTAACGTCTCTGTTTGCAACACCAAAAGACAGGATTTCTGTTGCTGAAGTTTGTTCCCAGCAGCAGTTCTCTAGCTTCTCTCCACTAAGATATGTGTTGTCCTTGAGGTGTGTGTGTGTGTGTGTGTGTGTGTGTGTGTGTGTGTGTGTGTGTGTGTGTGTGTGT